AAGTGTGTTTCTGACCATGTATGGATGAAGCTCCCTGTCTGAGCTGACCAGCAGTATATCTGCACTGATTTCTTGCCTCTTCCATTAAAGTGAATGCTTTGGGTGATGCTGCTTTAGAACTGAACTGGGGTGGAAACTGCACGTCCTGGCCTCAAGGTGACATTTTTATAATAGATTTCAGTTTGGCCCTTATGAAGGGGTGAATGAAACGGTGGTAAGATTAAAGTAGGAGCCTGTAGAGCATGACTCCCCAAATCATAACAGGACTTTTCTTGTGTGGCTCAGACCCAGGGGAGGCATGAATCACCCTGTTCATATCATCCCACCACCCAAAAATGCACAGGGGGATATTTGGAAGCCTGTAATATACACAAAAATCCTTTCCGCTCTTATCACAGCATGGGTCTTCTTCTTTCGTATGACGTTCTAGGATTATAACATTCATAGATTAATACCTACATTTGATAACCCTTCGACTGCTTCAGGGGTAGTTGCATGGATTGAATTTAGGTCGCCATCGAATGATCTAACTGGGCAAACGCATGGTGGCTTATCCCCGTAGAGAGTAGGATTTGCCCCATGAGAACAAGGTTGTGGTTGGTTATTCTGGATTTATTAATTTTATTTTATTTTCTGTTCTTTTCTGTTCTTTTCTTTTCAAGAGAGGATGGGGAAGTTCCAGAAAGGTTTCCCCCACACCTTCTTTCCCTTGATATAGTCATACCCTTGATATAGGTATAGACTTGATATAGACATACCCTTGTGCAGGGAAGTGGGGTGGCGGGGGGCAGAATCGCAGTTACTGGGTGCAAATGAAATTGAGTAGAAGGAGAAGCAAAACTGATCACTCTTTTCTTGAACAATTTAAAGAGAAAGGAATAGGGAAGGCAAACCAACTGCATGAAAAGTAAAGACTGAACTTGGATGTTAAACATTCATTTGGGTTTTGCCCATTACAGGGTTTATAGGCAGAGACTCTCCCAGTGCTCTTGCATATGGTGGTGTGTGTGGTGGGTGGGGGTGTTGTTTTTATTAACGCCGACTTCTGGAGTCCTGAGATTCCACGAGGATCTCTGCTCTTGGTTTGTAATAACATATTTTGGCCATTGTGCCCGCAGACAAAAAGCTGGAAAAGTGGGATTCCTGATAACACAAAACTAGAGGGTGAATCAGATAAAAAGTATCATCTTAATCTCATGATCTGGGGGAGGGAGATGCCTTACATTTCTGTCTCTTTTTTTTCTTTAACACTGTGGGTGTAATTATGAATCTGATCTTTATAATTTCTTTGGCCCAATCAAGTGCCAGAGCTCTGCTATGCCAGGAGCTGAACAAACAGAAAATGATAATCCTCAAGAGGGTTGCTCCGTCCTGTCTCTCTCTTGCTTTCTGGTCTTTGAACCTGATTCTCAATGAAACACGGACCTAAAAGGTTGATATAAAGAAACCTAGAATTGAGCGTAACTTACACTGACAACGATGATTGATAATGAAAGGGCCCGATTCTCACTTTAAATTCTTGTCCCATATACAAATAGATGGTCCTTATTAAGTGCAAGCAAAGCCCTGGGCTTTATGGGCCAAATCCTGTGAGATGTCAAGTGCTTCCTCCTGCTGATAACTGAGTGAGCATTTCAGAGGAAGTTTTCAGAATGTGACTAGCTGAGCTTGCCATCCCGTCCCTCCACGAAGTAGAGGCATTTGTCAATGGAGAACAAGAAAGCAAGAACCTCTCCCCTCTTGTAATAAGCAGAGAATTTGCTGGCCGGAAATGATTATTAGTGTGGCCCTGATTGAGTTTGCTCAGCAAACGTCTAGACGTAAACCTTTTCCAACAGGGGAAAGGCAAAAGGAAATCAATAGTAATCATCAGCAAGCCAGAGTCATTGTAAGGGGAAAGTTAAGGTATCAGGCTGGGCATGGGGAGAGGAAGGGGGGGATAGAGAGGGAGTGAAGCATCAGCAAATGCAATTTATAACCTCAGCTCCTGGGCCCCAAGGGGGAATGCAGTGAGCTAGTGCAGCGATAAATCCCGCTGTGCTGATGTCACTCTGGAAACATTTGCCAGGATGGCCTTATTTAAAAACTTAAAAACTAGGGAAGGGGCACGTGTTAACTCTCTCTTCCCTGGTTTAGATTAACCAGGGAAGTTCTCTTTGAGATGCAATGGATACTAGATTTTTTTTTCTACTGCCTGTAAAATTGCCCTGTCCTTGACTGAAATACATTACCTGACACTGAAGGCTGTATCTGCAGTCCCTGTTCTGGGTTTTCAGTGAGGCTGCAGCTGGAGTTGTGCCCTAAAAGGTGAGCTGAGATGGTTTGCAAACCATCAAGCTTTCTAGGTCATAGTATATGCATGAGAGGTCACCCAGACCTTTGACGCATATGCCTAGGCAGGATTATGGAGGAACAGAGGCTGCCCAGACCTTCCATCCCCGCTTTAGGCCACTGAGACAGAATCCAAAGGCCAAACTGAGTCCAGGCACATGGTGCCTCCATGGCTGTAGCTATATAAATGTTCAGGAACTGAACCCAGCTCACCTGTATGGCAGACAAGGATTCCAGCACTGAACCACAGGGGACTCTGGTGAGCTGAGAAGATCCCTAGTATAGACCAGTTATTTGGTAATGCCCAGCTGGCATAGCTACTGCTGCAGGGTATGGAAGGCATCCTTTATTTGTGGGGGGAGGAGATGATCTAAAGTAACCTGTTTCTTGGCTAGTAGAACAGTCTCCATGGGACAGCTGCAGCTAATGTGTTAGAGCAGCCTGAAGACTGCTCTAAATTGCACCAGAGAGTCATTTTTGTCTCTCAGCAACCCCCAAGCTGTGCTTCTGGTCATATTGCTCTTCCCCTTCCTCAAATTAGTCACAATGTAGCTGAGAGCTCTGTCCTAGCCATACCTGCCAATGTAGAGTCAGTGTGTCCAGCGTGCTCCAGGAGTATGTTGCAACAGGGGTCAGCTCTATACTATAATAAGGAATATAGTAAACAGCTGTTCTTTCCCAAAGGGCTCTACACTTAACTGGTTAATGTTGGGAGTTTAATTCCCTGCTCTGCCACGGATGTCCTGCATCATGATGGATAAGTCGCTCAGTAGTATGTATGGTGGATCTGGCCTCAGTTTTCAAGATCTCCTTCTTGGGCACCCTCCCCCCCACTTAGCTTTCGCTCCCTAAATCTAGCCCTGCCAGCTATCATGGATTATCAGTTTTCTAAAATACCCACCAAGGCCACTGCTTTCACTTGAGCATACTTCTGTTGGGTTATGACTATTCATAACTCCTCTTTAAAAAGCAGGGATGGTTGTTATAAACATAGAGACTGTATGTGTGTCCAAAAGTTGTTAGAAATGGTTTAGGGCAGGGGAGTCAGACATGGGCTATGGCCAGCATGGTACCTAGATTCCTGATGGACCCAGGCAAACTTTTAGTATCAGCCCCCCTTTACCAGAGATGATAATAATAATAATAATAATAGTAATAATAATAATAATAATTATTATTATTACCATTTTTCAGCCCCCCTTTCTGTCCAGGCCCCAGACAGCTGCCATGCTACAGGAGGTTGGGCATGGCCAGGGAAGAGGTGTGGCCTCCTGCAGAATTTATGGCCCCTTGGTCCCATGATCATCAGTGGCAGAAGGGCGAGCTGTCCCTAAACCCCTGTTGCTGCCAGTGTCACTGGCCCTGCAGGTCTGTATTGTGCCCAGGTTGAATTTGACAGTCCTGGTTTAAGGGGATCCCCAGCAGGAAAGGTCCCTGTTTTCCTACTATACAGACAATGGGGCTTGCTAATAGATAGTTGGTTAGCTGTCCATTACCAGAAAGCTTCAGTTTTATTCTACTGTTTACAACCCTTTTTGCCTGAGGCCAATGCACTGGGAATTAGGCAGTTCTGCTAGGTCTCTTCCCAAAAGTGCATGTCTCTTACTGTGTTACAGTAGATGAGGAAAGGCTCCGCTGCACTG